GTGGCGAGCGCCCGCTTATATAGCCAGATGCCCCGCCCATTCTGGCGGGCTTTGGCAGGCTTTGGCGGGCTTTGTCGCCATAGGCTCGTGCAGCTCCGCTGCCTAGCCATTGGTTCATTTTTAATAAACTGCACGAACCAATGGCCATGCAGTTTCACTGCGTGGATGAAAAAGGCTTCAGTTCAGGAGAAAAAAGGCTTTTTCCCCATATGCGTCTAGCAAGACGCAGTACGAGTGCAGTATCGAAAGGGAACCATATTTTTCATTAAAAATAAAAAATAAATAACAATAAAAATTGGTTTTTATTTATTTAGTTATAGCTAGTTTTTATTTTATTTTATTTTAATTTATTTTTTCACAGGCAAAGTGCTGGGCTCACAGAGACAGCACTTTCAGGACTGCAACAGGTGCAGTAAAAACATCCAACATGAAGTTCTGAGAAATGACTATTATCATTAAACTTACATATAATTAAACATTTAGTATTAAATGATGTGGTTTAAAAGAGTTCAGTCAAATCCAGTCTACACTATAGTGTTGAGTGACAGTCCGGACGCTGTCTATGTAAGCCCTGGCACCACAGTGTGTGGAACAGCATTGTTGTGTTACTACACAAACATACATCAAACATACTGGACAGGTTTCTTATTTGTTTAGTTTAAATCAAACAAACAATATTGCGTCTGCACGTTTCGTGTAATCCATTTGGCCTGTGACAAATAACTGAATCATTTCTCAGGAGCTTTAATACATCTGAAGGTAAAACAAGCCAGACTGTTGTCAGACTGGAGATATATCCATTTGCTTAAAACAATAGCACTCTATTGGCATTCGTCCCACAGTAATTACTTCATTAGCTAATTTCTCTCAGCTGAGACGACACGTTTGATGGAGTAGAGCAGAGGAAAGCAAACGGTGGAGGAAGGCAAAGGGATCAACAGATAAACGGACGCTATCTTCACTAGTGTTGGATCAATTAGCACAATGAAAACAGCATGGATTTTGCATTACTACTCCAGCACTCTTTCTTGGTTTACTTAATGTTTGGCGGCCTGATATTCTCAGCACTGCCTGATGGGATAGTGGAGGATCGATGGGAAAGGAAGAGGCCTCGCCCAGATCTCAGAGAAGACTCAATCAACTCATGCCAATAAATGCACATTACACTCTCACGACACACACAAGTTCTTCAAACAACAACCACTTCAAAACTGAATGGACACCTAACTAAGATTCTTTAACATTATTCATGTAATTTTAAGTCACTTGTAGAGTTACGGCTAGCGTTAAACACTACATAGTTGTCTAGTGCTCAAATGAAGAGATGTTGTCTTCATTGGGTTGGAGTCGCAAAGACCAAAAAAAAAAAAAACACAAAAAAAAAAAAAAAAAAAACAACACAATAAACAATATTTGATAAGATTTCAACACCAATGAATACAAGAAGAGAAAAGCAAATTTTTCTCACCTGCTAGAGAGAATGCATTGCGGAGGAATCAGGTCAGATGACACTGCCTAATTAAACAGCAGTACCTGCTGTGTAGTATACAAGGTAGGTTATTTCTTCTAGTATAAGGATAAAAAACTAATAAACATAAAATGTTTCTTCTCTACAGGGAAGCTTAATTATTACTACAGAAGTTAGCTCTTACTGTCTTAAGACACTAAGAATATATATATATATATATATATATATATAAAACTAGGATAGGAGAAAGTATTTTTAAAAAGAAAATATGCACTTCAGCTTTAAGTTACTAACTCATATAAATGGTTATTAATTCTCCTCTTCATCAGTGTCATTCAAATTAAACTACTGCAGCATGGAGGATGGAGTCTGTCAAACTGGTTAGACTTATGTAGACCAAAAACAAACAAAAAAAGTATATTAAAGTACAAAACACTTTTTTTTTTCAAAAACATTTGAATAGTGCAGAGCAACATGTTTATTTACTTATTTATTTTTTAGTTAAACATTATTTAGACAGTAATGCTATTATATTAAAAATCATTAAATTTAATGATTGTCATTGAATTCAATTACAAAATATAAAAGTGTCTGTATACTACACAAGTTTTCTTTTTAAAGAATTAAACTTACACAATGAGTGTGCATTAAGGTTAAACTAAGAATCAAAGCACAGCATGCGTGTACTCCTCTCTCTCAAACCAGTTTTCACTTACAGTATGTGCTCCTGCTCTTTTTACCGCAACCATGCAAACACACACATACACATATAATTTCATAATACCAGTGGAATCGTCACTATAGTTCACACACAAATAATCTTATCTAATGAGCCAATTTATAAACAAGTGTGCATGTGAGAAAAATAAATCATGTAAAAGTGGGGAATCCTTCCTAAATATTTCATCGCATGATTCCTGAAGATGTGTGTGAGCGAGACAGAGGGAGAGATAGAGAGAGATAAAGAGAGATGGAATTTACTTTCAATTTCTGTGTAATCCAGGGATTAGGTTCTGCTGGCAGAAATCCCCTCAAAAATTATTTCAAAAATGAATAATCATAATCTCATGCACTGGCAACAAAAATATGAAGATTACACTAGGCCACAGAAATAGCAAGTCTTGTTGCAGAATCTTTTCTCAGAACTAACTTCACTTTTCTTTATTTTTATTAAATAATTATCAAGTCCTGAAAATATAAAAAATATATGAAAATAAGTCTCATAAGAATAAGTAAAAGTTGCAAATAAAAAAAAGGTGATAAATATATAACCGAAAATGAAGAAATTATATATGAAATACTTAGAAAATTAATTAATGAAATGTGTAATTTTCAGTTCTATATACAGGTCTTAATAAATTTGGCCTTAAGTAATTGTTTTTTTGTTTTTTACATTTGCTTAGATTAAATATAGTGGAAGACACTTATTAGGAATAAAAATGGTAGGTAAAATAAAATAAGATAAGGCTTCAGCCTATACCTTTTCCAGTTAATATGTAAAATGATGTAAACTTATTATGGAACTGTGAATGAGGGCCAGAATAAAAAGTAAAACAAAAAAAACAATAATAATTTTAAAAAAAGGAACGCTTACTTACAATAAATATTTATATTACTCAAACATGGTTCAAGCAACACAGCATATACCTTGGTGCACTGAGTTAATAGGTTCAATAACCGTTGTTTAAATTGAAGTAAAATGAGCCTTGGATCGATTCTCAGTGTTCAATAACAGAGCATTAAAACTGTGACACTTAGATGTGCATGTGTAGAAATATTATTGAAATGAAGCATATTGAATGCATAATACAGAGTTTGGTCATACTATGGCATATTCATTAACCAGAGGCTGAATCTGACCTTTCTGTGTCTGTGTGTACATACATGAAAAAACAAATTGCCTGAGGATGTGTGGAAGCAATGTGAACACCAGAGGGGGTGGTTGGATAGTGTGTGATTTCATCAAGGGTGGGGCTGCGATTAGATGTGTGTGCCTGTGTGTGTGTGTGTGTGCCTGTGTGCCTGTGTGTGTGTGTGTGTGTGTGTGTGTGTGTGTGTGTGGCGGGGTCTTTCACATCTAAATGTGGTAAAGTGTAATCTGATGAATTAAAGATAGAGACAGAAGTTGGTGTATAAACCAGCATACTTATCATATAATCAGGATTCTGTAAGAGAAAAAGGCAGGTATGGTTATATACAAACATACATTATATATATGCTTTTGCCTGGGAAAGAGAGAGAGGAGAAAGGGGGAGGGGTGATGTCAGGCAGCAGAGAACCGCTCTGC